AGGAGGAAGGAGATGTCGAGGAAGTGGATGAAGAGAAGGAGACCAAATCAAAGAAGAAGAAGATCAAGGAGGTTTCCCATGAATGGCAACTCATCAACAAACAAAAACCAATCTGGTTGCGAAAGCCAGAAGAGATTACTAAGGAAGAATATGCTGCCTTCTATAAGAGCCTCACTAATGACTGGGAAGACCACCTGGCTGTCAAGCACTTCTCGGTGGAGGGTCAGCTTGAGTTCAAGGCCATTCTCTTCGTACCAAAAAGAGCACCTTTTGATCTATTCGACACCAGGAAGAAGATGAACAACATCAAGCTCTATGTCAGGAGGGTCTTCATCATGGACAACTGCGAGGAGCTCATCCCTGAATACCTTGGATTCATCAAAGGTGTTGTTGACTCTGACGACTTGCCACTGAACATCTCTCGTGAGATGTTGCAACAGAACAAGATATTGAAGGTGATCAGGAAGAATCTTGTGAAGAAGTGCATAGAGATGTTCACAGAGATTGCTGAGAATAAAGAAGATTATAACAAATTCTATGATGCCTTCTCGAAGAACTTGAAGTTGGGCATCCACGAGGATAGCCAAAACCGAGCCAAGTTAGCTGACCTGCTTCGATACCATTCCACAAAGAGTGGAGATGAGATGACAAGCTTGAAGGATTATGTCACTAGAATGAAGGAGGGCCAGAAGGACATTTACTATATCACTGGAGAGAGCAAGAAGGCTGTGGAGAATTCTCCATTCTTAGAGAGACTTAAGAAGAAAGGTTACGAGGTGCTTTACATGGTGGACGCAATTGATGAGTACGCTGTGGGGCAGTTGAAAGAATATGACGGCAAGAAGTTGGTGTCAGCTACGAAAGAAGGATTGAAACTGGATGACGAAACTGAGGAAGAGAAAAAGAAGAAAGAAGAGAAGAAGAAATCTTTCGAGGAACTCTGCAGAACCATCAAGGACATTCTGGGAGATAAAGTCGAGAAGGTTGTCGTGTCCGACAGGATTGTTGATTCACCGTGTTGTTTGGTGACAGGTGAATATGGTTGGACTGCTAACATGGAGAGGATCATGAAGGCTCAGGCCTTAAGGGACACGAGTATGGGTTCCTACATGTCTAGCAAGAAGACCATGGAGATTAACCCAGACAATGGGATAATGGAAGAGTTGAGGAAGAGAGCAGCGGCTGACAAAAACGACAAGTCAGTGAAGGACCTTGTGTTGCTTCTGTTTGAGACGGCTCTCTTGACCTCTGGATTCAGCCTGGAGGATCCCAACACGTTTGCTGCAAGAATTCACAGGATGTTGAAGCTGGGTCTCAGCATTGATGAGGAGGAAACTGGTGGCGACGATGAAGACATGCCTCCTCTAGAAGAAGGCGGTGCTGAGGAGAGCAAGATGGAGGAAGTGGACTAATGCCCAACGGTCTGTTGTCCGTTGGTAAATTTCAAAATTATTGAAGGTAGATGCGGGGTGGTCTTTGGCATAAGCTTTGTTGAATTTTATTTGTCGTTCCTTGTTTAGTTTATGTTCTTTTTGGGTTTTCTCGGTGCGCTTGTAATTTGGGTCCACAAAGTGTGTGTCTGCGTCGCGTATCTACCTATCATTGTTATTTTGATACATAAATAGAAACAGAACCTTCTCTCTCCTAATTGTGTTCATATATGGCAATCAGGATCACTCATAATGTTGCTGATTTTTTGAAATCGACATCCAGTTTGTGGGATGGTAACCCGCCCGGGGGGATTTGATCTTGCTTTTGAAAACTGCCTGGTCGAAAGTGGAATGCGGGAAAATGGCCAATGTCCATTGAATAAACAAGTGCAGAGACGAACTGATTTTTTTCCCATTTTGTAAACAAATTTTAAGAAGGTTGGACTCAGGCGGGGGAATTAACCCTTGACCTTGATTTCCACTCCAGACGAAGCACCCTTGGCCAAGCAATCCCAAGAAGAGCTAATGTTGGAGAATTTTTTTTTGGGGGGGGGGGGGGGGGGGGGGAGATAGTGTGTCTATAAAAAGCCGGTACCAGGTGCTGCGCCAAAACCTCCACTGCCTCCTCCTCCGAAACCAGGTGCAAGTTGGAGCAGCAAAACCAGGCAAGAAGCCGAGAGGTTTCCAAGTTAGTAATATCATTCCAAATAAGCAATGAGAGTTATAAACAAATGATTGTCAGAATATGGGCAATTAACGTACTCTTAAAAGCTTTCAAAATATTTGTCATTAATATATGTAGCATCGTTTCCACTCCACTCCATTACAAAACAAACATGTACTTGAATTAAAGCACTGTAATGTGTAGCATCGTTTCCACGCCACGGCCCCAAAAAAATCAGCTAGTTTGGATGAAAAGTTTCATTTGACCGACCAAAAACATGTTTCTATGAATTTGTCTGCCTTCAAGAAAACTGAAGAAGCAAAGGTGAAGAAAACATCAAGATACAGATTTGAAAAAAAAAAAAAAGGAATTACCCTAAATGATGGCTGGTAATCTGTTGGAGCTCCTCCTTTGACACCACCAAACTCACGAGAAGATCCTCTGGGGCCTCCACGGTATCCATCACGTTCACCAAACCTTGAACCTCCTCCGAATCGAGGAGGACCACTACACAACAAAACACCCAAACCGACACACACGCTGGAAAATGGAAACATAGAGTAAATTGCAAAATGAGGTCGAGTCTATCTTGTCACCGTGGGCGATCACCAGGTGGGCCACCACCGAAAGGCCGGCTGAGTGGTTTAGGAGTTTTCTTCAAGGTAGCAGGCACAATTTCTGAGGGCAGATTAAGGTATGTCCTTAAATATTCGATTCCTCGTTTGTGAGAAACCAACAATATTGCATCCATGCAAAACTCTCATGAACATATTCCCCCGATTTGAAGCTCCGCATCAGCCTAATCACCTGTAGATTTGGCACATCCATCTCTGGGTGCTTTGCAAGATTGTAATCCTTCTTCGCTTAACATACTCCCTCTGTAAAAATTCATAAAACTATTATTGTGTAAATCTTAACAGCCAAGAGAGATTGGAAATTAGAATGCCAACCAATTATGAATGAAAATTACACTTAATCAGTGATACAGCGGACTACTGAGATACATCCAAAGGCTTTAAGATAAAAACAAACAAGAATCACTGAAGCCGAAACGTTAGAATTAGGTAGAATGAATTTATGTCCAAATAGCCGAATATGTGTATGGATTAAGAAATATCGGGGCAGTTGCTCGTCATGTACGTCGAGATTTTAAAAAATGGCAAGCACAAATACAATGTCTCCCAATTTTTTAATCCAGATGAAAAAAAAAAAATCCCTCTGGAAACCAAAAACATGTAATGGTTTCAGAAAAATACACATGATGGGGAAATTGAGAGAAACCTTTGAAGAGATATTTGCAGATCTCCTTGCGATTCTTCTCCGGTATAATCTGAAATCATGGTTCAAAAAGTTAATATATCCTAAATTAACATCATAGCTACTCCTTCAACCATAATCAAGTGAAAGAGAGAGGAAGAATATTAAAAAAGATGATTATGCTATTTTAGGAAAAACATGTCATGTTTCTTACAATTAACTAATTTAGCTAACTTCTTTAATCTAATCAAATTAGTTAAATAGGTCTTATATTAACGACTAGATGAGTATATATATATTATACTACCTCCGATCCTTAATATAAGATCTTGTTTGACTTTTATTTTGGTTTTAAATATAAGACCCTAATCCATCTTGTCTTTCATATTTATGTATTTTTTCCTAAAGTAGTCCTTTTAACAAAAGTAGTTCTAGCCAATTCACTTGATTAACAAGGATATTTTAGAAAAAATAACACTTATTTATTACAAATAATTAACTTAACTCCTTTTCTTAATTTTCTCAAATTAGTCAACTAACTCTTATAATTAGAATCGGGTACTATATACTTTACAGAGAGATCTGTAAAGTGGAGGAGGAAGATGCCACGGCTGCAGAGCTGAAAATGGAGAGCCTGTGCTGTCGCAAAAACAAGAAAGTGACGTAGGTTTCGTAATAAGCTCCAAAGCCCAAAGGCGAGGGAGGAAGATAAGCGCCAAGGTGTTTAATTAGGCTCTGGTGAGGTGGACCGTGTTGGATTATAACTCGTATTGCCCAATACAAAGGAAGCCCATTATTTGATGGGCAGAACAACTCCCTATATAATCCACACATATACAAGCACAAGTGATAGCAGGATATCACCCGAAAAAAAGTGATAGCAGGGTATCAGGGCAAGTTTGATTATTGTTGGAGGAAAAAATATTTATGTTCCTGTTTAGTTTTTTTAATTCAAAGAAAATACAATACTCTCTCGATTCTAAATATAAAATTTATTTTGTATTGTATTAATTTTTTAAATGCTAACCGAATTGTATGAAAAAATGAAAAGAATGGAATGTATTCAAATTCTTTAAGCAGAATCACAAGTAAAATTTAATTTTATTCCACATGAAAAATCAGTTTAAAATAAATTATAAAGGAGCTTCTGCAATTGGCCTTTCGAGTTGACACGAGCATAGAAAAGGAAAACAGGAGGCATTATTGTCGAGTTTACATCATTTCGACAACAGGAAAGAGTCTTGCAGAAGATAAGAAGGGCAGTTGAACCACCAGCGGAAACTCGTGCGGGCACCGCTCTAGCTCTCCCATATTATTATATATCTAATCTAATAAATTTATCCAAAAAAAAAAAAAAAAAGAACCCACACCACTCATAAATCGAACATGGTTACAGCTTATATGAAACTTCGTCCGCCCCATCACCCAGTGAGTCACTAATTTTTCACAGAATTCTCTTTTGAAAGGGAAGATTCAAATTTCCAGAATAGGCCCACATTCTTACTACACATGATCGCACAGGAGCAAACCCAGCTCGTCTTGTTAAAATGCAATATTGCATGCTCCACGGTATAATTGAATAGCTGGTCCAGCAATAATCCAATTACAGAGGGACCACATGCTCACATGCTTTTTCTGCCACTTAAAACTACCACAGAAAATAAATGAGTATGAACTTCCCATATGAACCTGGAGTTTCAACTACCATCACATGCAGCGCCCAAAAATCTGCACTCAGAACATTAGTTTAAGTTTACTACAGAACTTGTCTCACATACAGGTATTTTGAAGTTTGGTCAAAACTCAGACAGAATCGGTACTGTACTGGTCCAGGGGAAAAAAAATGTAGAGCTCTGGAACTGTACAGACCGACACAAAACTATGTAAGCTATACATTCTCGCAACATTATTGTACTTATGTGGTGTTATATTTTTATTATATACAGTATGGCACGAAAATGAATAGAGAATAAAGGCCTTGCTTGGCTGAGTAACAGCAGCTATTACGCATAGAACGGTATCATAATCGACTGAAGCAGAAACCTCTCAGCTTGTTGCCCTTTCCCGGCATACTTTAGCTCATCCAGCGCTATTCATGGACAACGTTGCCACTGCATATCATAGCAGAAAAAAGGATGACATTTCCTGACTTCACCACCTCACATTGAATTTTGACACTATTCAACTGCTTGTTGCATACGGGTCCTTCTGCATTGAGATAGCTAGATGGCCCCTGGTTCTACCTCATAAGAAGACAGCAACCTTCTCTGCAAGAATTATAACACACAATGAAAAAGAGTGGATGACCAACACAGTTTATTTTCTTTTTTCCTAAAAATGCATTTCAGGACTAGCAATTACTAAATTCCGCAGATCAACCATTAGGTTTTTAGTACTCACAAATACTATCCCGTCATGATGAAGGGGTACTCTGGTTTAAACATCCATAAAATCCACTCAATGTGAAAGAAGGAAAACAAAAAAACACCTAAAAGAATACCCAAATCTCCAAATGGCTGCCATGGGAAAGTCCTATAAAAACATTTGGTTGTAAATCACAGCAATGGTGCTCAAAAAACAATTAAAGGCAAAGAAAACAAAAACCCTACCCCATATGAGGAAGACAGAACTTCTTTAAGGCCCAATCCAGTCATTCAATTGAATCTATAGATACAGGAATAAAATCAAAGATCAAAGAGAGTAAACATGTAAGGACAGATCAAAAGCATCTGATCTAAGTGCCCATGGAGGTGAAAACTCCAGTTGGTAGGAGCAAGATGGAAGATGGATAGTTTAAAAAAGATGAGGAACATCAATTTTGTGTGTGTGTGTGTGTGTGAGAGAGAGAGAGAGAGAGAGAGAGATAGAGGAGTGGGGCTCAAGCAGGAAATAAGATAACTACTAATTCTTTAAAGCAAATTATCTTAACAAGCGGAGTACTTGTCTCAAGAAAAACCCCGTCACAGCACCCACCCAACAAATCAGTGAACTGGATACTTACATGATCCTCAAAATCTGGGCTTGCTAAATTGATAGACAGGTTTCTCATCAACAGTAGTACCTGGATAGACCCAAAAGGACAGAAAGGACAATTTTTGTCAGTATTTCTGAAGCATGAGTTCTCATTTATATAGCTGTAGTTGTTTCAACGAGTCAATATAAAACATTCAAAGCCAGAGTAAGCCTTTTATGCCTCATCCCACTAACAATGGAGAAACAATTTAATTTCCAGAAGTTGATGAAGCAACAATTTTCCTCCCAATATACCATGACAGGACAAACTTTTCCAATTAATTACAGAAGAATCTAGGTGAACAGAATATCTAGGATGCTATTAGGAAAAAAAACCAAGAAACATACCGTCTCAACATCTATAGGATCCATCTTTTTTAGTTTCTGCAGATGCTCACTGGCTTTTGGGTCAAATACACTGCCAATGAACTTGTAAACTTGGCCAAAGTCTGGCAGAACTGCATCAGACAAATGTTAATCTGTCAATAAAAATATTGATGCAACACTAAACAAAACAACTGCCACTATCATACAGAGAAGCTTCATTAACAAAAAGAAAGAAAAGGACAAGATTTCAAGCATATGTACACGGAACGCTAAATAAGTCCTGTAGGTAAGAGACAGATATTTGGATATGATCCAAAAAATGGTTGCAGGAACTAATCAAAGTCTTGCCTCTCAACGGATGGCTATTATTCCCTTGACCAGTGGATGCACCAATTGGCCGTGCTCTCTGAGTGCTTTCACCGCTACTGCAACTATTATTCATTCTGGGCCCTGAAAAACACGTATGTTAGAGACACAAAACTATTGGCATGTGGCATCTTCAGTTAAATGCTACTTTAATAATTCCATAAGCCGGATTGCAGGATTACATATGCTAAATTTTATGCATTAAAAAAAAAAAAAAAAGGCAATTCTTTGTACCATGCAGTAAATTGGTCGTCTGCAAAGTGCTGTTTGACCAAGAAGACACTGCAGCATTAGTAACTGGAGTTTTGATCATTGTTGAGGAATCAGGCTTTATTACATATCCAGGTTCAACCAGAGGAGATGAAGATTGAAAGGATCCTGACATTTGAGAGGGTATCAAAGCTGCCAAATATTACTGACAATTATCAGATGGATCTAAACCAGATATATAGCGTGACAGAACAATATGGAAAAAGAACAGAACCATTTTTGGAAGCCTTCTGAGGATATGGATGAGCAGCTTTTCTTTTTGGCCTGGGTGGAGGCAGATGTTCATTTGCTCCACTCTTCTGCACTTTTAGAAAATACTTCTGTGCATGGCTGCGTATCTGCAAAAGTCAAATGAGCATAAGTCACACTTCATTCCTACATATGCAGGTATTGCTATCACATCTCTGGAGAAAATTACAAAAACTTCACCAACTTAGTGATATTAAAACACTCGTATAAAATTCAGGCCAGCCGCAGACACTAAACAAAAGAACATGACTTAGATAGCTTAACACCTTTAAGAAATCTGTGCTTCCAGCAAACCACCTATGAGAATTATCATATCTTTGTTTTGCAAAATGAGGGGGGAGGGTATTCTATAAACAATAAAAGGCGTTAAATTTATAAGAACAAGCTCCACATATGCATTGTAGTTTAATCAGAATCACGAGTAAAAAAAGTTGATGGCTTATGCTTTAACAACTACAAAAGTTATTGTGAGGTTGAAGTAGTAACTCTTCAAACAGTTCATGAGTCTTGGTTTACACTAGAATGGAGAGAACAGCCATAATATCTACACCTGATATTTACAGAACCAAAGAGTAAAAAAACTAGAGGGAATCTGCAAGGCAAGAATTTGCATTTTGTTACATGCGCAGTGGGTATTAAAAGTGATGTCATAAGACATTGCCTCAGATGATGGATGGCTGAGACAGGTATTAAGTTTTGTCCCATGAAACAGAAGACTGTAGATCTTGGATGGACCAGAGGTCCAACAAACACGCCTATCAAAGCAATTAATGCAATACAGAATGATAAGACAGTAAGAGATGCAAGAGAAAACAGATGTCTCTCGGCTATTCATTTCCAACATGCCAGGGTCCCCTTAGAAAATATCAAGGTGAGATAAACATAACCAATTGACTAAATTCCAAATTTCCAACAAGAAGAAGAACACAGCTTAGATATGAAACATAACAGGCTAATCCTAAATAGCGATAAAACAGCAAGGACTTCAACTCAATTCTCACTTTTATCCCATTCTTGGCCAAATGTTTCAATGTAATGGCATATTATTCCACGGCAGATACAATTCTTCACCTCCTCTCATCCTCTACAACTTTCGTCCATGAATAATCTTAATTATCAGTGCCAAATAGGTAGGCAATTGTAAACCTTTGAATGTAAAATGAAGTACCAGACAAACCGCCTTTACTTCTTTTTTCTCATTAGCAAATATTGTCTTATATTGCCATAGTTCGTTCAACACACCTCCAGTAGCAAAGCAAAAGCCAAGTAAAAACTATTGTACTTAAAGATAAGAAATCATAGAAAGTAAAATGAAATGAGAAAGTGACGCAATTACAGGTACAAAAGGATCTCGCCACTAAAATTACCTGTATAACTGTCTTTGATCCAACAAATGCTTCAATCTTTTTCCAGTCACGATCAAAACTGCATAGAATGAAAGGAACAAAATAATGTGATGATAATGCAAGAGAGAAAGTCTGAAACCAACACCAAAGGGAGGATTCAATTTAAACTAGTACATTCCATTTGGGCAAAGAAAATTATGTTTTAAAGGACCAATGAAGTTCAACACCATGAGGATGCACGTAACAGTTTTAAATTATCATCCAAATAGAACGGTTTTGAAAAAGTAGTAATCAACATCAACCATCAATATCAATATAAAATACAAAACACATAGCCAGTGAACAGTATGGTTCATTCCTCAAATTTAGTGCGATGCACAAGAGGCCCACCTAGTTCACATAACATGACATTTAAAAGACATCTACGGTTAGTGATGGCCAAATGACTGGAGGTTCTGTATTATGAGGGAAAAAATGTTTGACCAAGACACAATCCTTTGAAGAAGAAACTTATCTCCAAAACATAGGCCTTCAAAACATGAAATCTTCATAAGACTAAAACCATTTGAAATTACTCGGTCAAAAGCTCCATCTTTTAAAACGTTATCCCTAGCTTTCTGCAGGGAAAAATACCAATATTCATGTCCCTTTACTCGTCAATGTATCAGACAGAGTCCAGTGGTAGGGATAGTTTGCAAATCAGTCATTTTTATTCTTCAGTTTTAGTTTTTTTACTAGTCAGTTTTATGTGGTCATATTCAGTTATCCTTTCAGACCATTTCAGTGGGGTTATTTAAATATTAGTTATTGTCAGTTATTGATAATCCTTGTCCTAGAACATAGGAGGTTATTAGGAAGTTATTAATCGGTTATTCTCAGTTATGTTTTCAGCCTACTTAAATCTATTGTATGATGACATTAGGGGCGTGAATGGAAGTATATTATTCAGGAATTTCTCTCTTCTTCTCTCCTAGGATTTCAGATACTGTTTCTAGTCTCTCTCTCTCTCTCTTTCTCACTCTCTCTCTCTCTCAAATCTCTCTTCTACCTTCTCATCTGTTCTTTTCCCTCCCTTCCCTCGCCCAATTCTTATTCTCTCTACTGCAGAACCTAACAGTATCTTTCATTCTAATCAAAAGTGAAAAGCTCATGCCCATATTAAGTAGAGAGGGAAGCTCCTATAGGTCAAATAACTCATAAGGCAGACCCAAAGCTCTCTCCAGTGCCTTTCGGCCTCAACTCCGCAGGCTATGGGAGTAAACATATTCAGAGGAATCTGAAGCAATTTAAGTCTACTGAAAATTAACCCATTGTCCCCCCATGACAAGTAACAATCCCCCTTTGAATTCGCCTCGATCTTTCACTTGTGCAATTGAACACCCAAAATCAACTCATTTAAAGTGGCTTGAAACCTTTAGGGATCGTAAAAGAGACAGAAAATGTTAATTTCCGCTTCATGCTCAAAAGATTTTTTGGAAAAATAAGAAGCTCCCTAATTTCATTATGATCCCATCTCTTCTAACCCAAATAACTCATGCATCTCATGTTTACCCTTTCTAACATGACTATTCTACAGGAGCAAATTGAGCACAATAAACTCCACGGATTCAACCAAACGAACAACTGATTGCATTGACATATGACAATCAGCTACAAAATCAAGAAACACAACTTCGCACTGTAACGCCAAGAAGGAGCTAAAAATAGAAAATCAATTGTTTTCTTCTAATAAATTAGCAGAAAACACTCAAAATACACACTGTTCATTTGACACTTTCAATTTTTCAACAGAGTTCAAATTCCTCTCCCGCAAAACCTAAAACTTCACCCTCAAGATGCAGTTCTCCATATGCATCCATTCCGCACAAGTATACGCCGCAATTGAATAGTAAAAATCCCCCACTACATTTTCGGAAAAAGGGGGAAAATTTATCCATTAAGAAAAAGGTAAAAGCGGGCTTTACAGTTGGAGGGCTTCAAGGAATTTGTCGTGCTCGGGTTCGCTCCAGCTCTCTCTGGACTTGGTTATAGTGTACGGTTTCCGGATCTTCTTCGAAGGGTCATCCGATGAATTAGCGGTGGAAGCAGACGTGGTAGCTGCGGCAGCGGCGGTGGTGACGGAGGCGAAGGGACCAAGGCCAGGAAGCGCCATGCCGGGGGAATCCAAGTAGAAGCCCTCTGAGGGGTTTGGGTTTTTGGAGACCATTTGGAAGAATATAATTGAAGGGGTTTATGGCCTTTGTTGAGAGAGAAAGTGAAGAAAAGAAAATGCGGCTGTTGTTAACAGAGGAAACGGCGATGGTTATAAAAGATGCGTTCAGTGGCTGTTTCTGTGTACGGCAAGGCTTTTGGTAGGTACGTGCGGTTGACGAATGGCATGAGGCCACAGCAATACACACAAGGGGGAAGAAACAAAAGTTTGAAGCTTGGGCTTTGCTTCGTTACCAGACAAGCGTTGTAATCAAGCATGGGATTGTAACCCTAAATAATTGCCTTTGTATATTCTTATCCCATCACCATTTTCGGACATTTTGGTCCTTCTATGATATACTAAAAGCACTAGATTTTTAGTTCATAAAAATTTTCTTTTTTTTTTAATTCTTGTCAGAAAGTTGAATGGAGCAAACATATTTGATCAATGAAATGACAATGAGGCCGTAAATCGTAGGCAGGCTTAGATCAGTCAACTATCAATCAATCAATTAATATTCTTGAAAACTTGTAATACCCGATTTCCTTAAAACGGGTCGAGTATGATATTATAAGATCTAAATATATTCAATTAATAATAAAATCTGAATAATATTTTGATTGGGATTTGGGTATATTGAATTAAATGAGGAGCATCGTTATGAAATGAGATTTTAATGGAGGCTCAAATGAAGAAATTAATAATTAATTTTGAATTTTAATAATATCTTAATTGGGATTTGAATATATTAAATTAAATGAGAAGTATCATAAAATAATATGTCAATTGGGGTTTAAATGAAGAGATAAATAATTAATTTTAAATTTTCATACATTTCCTCTAAATTCTACATCTTTAATTCAAATACAATATGAAGGAATAAAGAAAAACACACTTCTATAAAAAAAATAAATCTTGAGCTATCTTAAATAATACAATTTATTAGAATTTAAAATTTAATCAAATATTTTAGTCCGTGCATCGTACGGGGGAGAAATTTCTAGTTCAGTTTCAAAAAACGTATTGTTCTTTCTTTGACCTAGAAAAAAAGTGTATTTTTCAGTTCACAAAAGTTTGCTTTTTTGGGATCAGATAGTTATTTGCAATTGGTTGAGATATTTACAAATCATAAATATCTCGTTCCTCGTACTCTATTTATCCAAATTGGGGGGGGGGAGGATTTGCTAATAAGCGTACAGTAAAACTAATATCACAAGCTAGCAAGCTACGTTCTTTCTAAGGAATACCCTTCTAGTCTTATTTATAAGGTAAAAAGAAAAGATTTTTTAGTCTTATTTATAGAAAACTGAAGAAAAAGACTAAAGTCAAAAAATTATTAAATTTTAAATAAAATTTAAGATTTTTTTAATTTTATGTAAAATATATTTAAAATAATTTATAAATAAGACAAAAAAGCATCATACATGGACATGACCATAACAGATAATTGCGAATTTTAAGAACAAAAAGGTGGCGAGCACAGTGGTAGGGGCGGCACTAGATAGTTTCTCGTGGAATGACGGTTGAAGGATGGAAAGGGAGGGTCGGTTAAGGAGTGGCCCATTTGGTTAAGACAGGCACAAAAATTGTAGTAATATAATGTGATAGCTGACAATATAACGCATAATTACTAAATATTATGACTTTTAATTATGGCTGAACAAAATCTCTATTTAAACTTAACAATATACAGGTAAATAAAAAAAAGACATTTTTTTTGTAATTATATAAGTAAGTTCTTTTCATCGAGTGAAAAATAACCCCAAAAAAGAAGAAGAAAAGATTATTATAAAATCTTAAAAAATTAATATAATTATTAAAAAGCCTCACAACTTAAAGTGTAGGAGTGTAGGAAATGATACGAGGTTTATGTTAATTACTTGTAACAGATTTTTTAGTAATTATATTTTATTCCACATAATTATATTTTATTGAACATCATGATAATTCCTTTTTTTTTTTTTTTTTTGGGGGGGGGAGCATCGAAATAAATGGGTAGTAGGTGAAAAAGACAGTAAACAGGGGAAGGGAGAGAAGGGGCGAAGAGTAAATGGCAAAGCCGGGGGTGTACACGTGGCAAGCAAAGGCTGACTGTTGGCATAAAGTCTACGGGCTTATCATGTTCCGTTCCGTGTAAGGTTGTGAGTGCCCTCAAATGAATGGCCACTTGATATCTTGGGAAGATATTTTAGTGGGCCCTCACCAATGGGGCCGGGCCCATGCCCATTTATGTTATAGTGACTTCAGGCCCATTCCCTTCCTTTTCTTTTTCCACTTTGTCCCCCCTTTTTTGTCGTGTTGCGTCGTTTGCTTCTCACATGTTTGGGTATTCCAATCACCCAATTATCGACACGTAGTAACTTCAGGGTCGGGTGGCTTTGGGTGATTTGCTTTTATTTATTAGCAGTAAAACAGGGCCTAGGATTTTCAAACCCAAAAAGAAAAAGTTCCTAGGAAAGACATGTTACTGTAATACTAATACATTATTGGTGAGATATTAGTGGATGATAAGATATTTTTTTAGATATGAAGTGGAATCTTGTAAAAGGTTGATGGTTGCCACTAATTATTGTTTTTGGATCTCTAGTATAGAACTTCTTTGCAAAATCCTCAATAATTGCACCAGGTGTTATTATTTTATTAAGTTTTTAATTTATATATTTTATTTTCATCTGCAAATTGAGATGTGAATGTTAGTCCAAATAGTCAGAAATTAGAACTTAGAATCATATTAATTTTTATTAGGGTTAATACAATCCTTATTCTTAAATTTATCTTTATTTTAGTTTTGATCTATCAAGGGTCAAAATTGTCAAAGTCTCTATATTATTAAAGTCCTTATTGATTTATAATGACCAGTATTTTAAATGAAAATAAACTTGAATGACTAAAATTTATAATTTAAAATTTAAAGAACTAAAATTAAAAAAAAGAGTAAATTTAAGAGGCCAAAAATTATGTTGACCATTTTTATTATATATTCAAAGAAGATAACGCGAGTTAAAACACTTAAAGCTTCTCTCTCATGTCATGCCTTATTTATTGGTTTTTTTCTTCCCCTTTTGATATTGGTAGTTTTTATTAAATACTATCTTTAGTCTTTAATAATTAATATAAAAACTAATTAATCAATTTAAGTAAATTAAAAAATTAGATAAATCAGTTATTTGTAATAAACGAGTGTTGTCTTTTTTAAAATACTTTTACTAATCATGTGTATCAGCTATAACTACTATTTCATAAAACCTTTAATATATGCAACTACTACAAGAACTATCTTAAAAAATAGATAAATATAAAAAAATTAAATTAAAATCTTATATTTAAAATTAAACTGAATATTAAACTAGCTGTTAAGAATGGATAATGAGAATTATAAATCATGTATCGGATAAGCTTGAATGAGGTCCGTTGGAAAAGAACAAGGTCCAGAGAAAACCTATACAAGGCCTCAAGCCCAAAGAAAACATCAACAATGAATCAGGAGATATTTCCGAGAACTGGTTGTTTTTTTTTTTCGGGGGCCAAATTTCAAACAACCTTTTTGATAAAAAGCATCCACAATATGTATACACACACATTTGACTTCATTTTAATTTTAACTTAAAATTTAAAATTGATATTTTTTTTCTTAAAATTTAAAATCATATTTAACTTAGACAGACTAACATTTATAGGCGGATTAAATTTTAATGATTAAAAATAATAGTTACAAATTTCAGAGACCAAAATTAAAATAAAATCAAATTTCAAAAATTAGATTTTTATTAACTCATATATACACACACACTATTTGAATAAAACTAACTTTCACATCCTAACTTGTGGATAATAATAAAATTTACAGAACAATATTCAAAAACTGTGGTGGATTTTTCTTTTATTCTCGTCATTCTCCTTTCTTGCCTTCCATTTAGTTTTTTACCCGTAATGATAATAAACTTAATAAAAGTCACACGAAAATAGTTTAGATGATAAGAATATTTTTCTTTCATTTTATCGGTAAACTAGTGATATAAAATAAATTTATGAGAGCATGACGTTATCACTAGTGCTAGAGGGGTGTGGTATATATAGAAAAGTTTATCTTGATTTGTGAAAAAATATTTCTAAAAAATACTTACAAGATTACCGAAACGCCCCTAAAACTAGATGATAAGACTAGCAAATCAGTACCAGCGTGTATCGGATAAGTTTGAATGAGGTCCGTTGGAAAAGAATGACGTCCACAAAACCTATACAAAGGCCTCAAGCCCAAAAAAAAAACATTAAGAATAAATCAGGAGATATTTCTGACAACTGGTTTGTTTTTTTTGGCCAAATTTCAAACAACTATTTTGATAAAAGCATCCCAATACATATATATACTCCTCCGGTCCTAATTATAAGACCCAATTGATTTATTTGAGGAGATTAAGAAAGTAAGTTAAGTTGGTTATTTATAATAAATAAGTGTTTTCATTCCTAAAATATCCTTGCTAATTAAGTATCTTGGCTAAAACTATCATTATTAGAAGGATTATCTTGGAAAAAAATGCATAAATATAAGAGACAAAATGGATTGGGGTCTTATAATTAGGACCAAATAAAAAGTCAAATGAGGTCTTATAATAAGGACCGGAGGAATATATATATATTTGACCTTATTTTAATTTTAACTATTAAAATTTAAAATTGATAGTATTTTTTTAGAAAAATCGGTATAAATCTCCTATTAAAAATTTAATTGGCAAATGACGTTATAACTAGTATTAGAGGGGCGTGGTATTAGAAGCCTCAACTTTTTCCCGCAGTTGTTTAAAATCATAATGATTAAGGCACAAAATGATATATATTTATGTTATGAGTAGTTTAAATATCAGGAAAACAAATCGAACCCAAAGCATTTGATGAAAATGTGTTTAAATAGTCTATACTGTACCGGTTTTCATTATAAATCTTTTAGCTGAGTATGTTCTTTCTTCAAACAAAAAGAAAGCTAAATCTATTTTACTTGTTACCTATTTTGAAATAAAAAAAATAACTACTTTTTAAGGAGTAATACTACCCCGGTCTTTAATATAAGAGTTCATTTAATTTTTATTTTGATAATAAATATGCGACCCTGATTTTTTGTATTTATTTATTTTTTCTAAAATAGTTATTGTAATAATAATAGTTCTGATCAATATACTTAATTAGTAAATATATTTTTAAAAAAATATATATTTATTATAAATAATTGTTAACTGGCTCTTATATTAATAATCAGAATAATATTAAATTAGTCGTCAAATCGTATATTTGTAAGGAGAGGGGGAAGTCCTTGGCACCGCGTGAAAAATCTACGGCTGGTAATTGACTAATTCCCTCGTATAAGTTGAACGAGTAACTCGAGTTGTCCAAAAACAACGTTCCTCTATACTGTTATTCAATATTTTCAAATCAGTTCATAAACTCATTGATGCTTGCACTTTTATAAAGTTAAACTAGATAAATTATTCATTTTAAAACTTCTAATTACGATTTCACATGTTCATATTTTGCATTAAGTCCATTATATTTATTATGTTATTTTCTGATCACGTCCAACTATGTATACTATTTTTAAAATATCAATATTTTATACTCACGTGTAAAAAAAATTAAGATATGACTATGTGTAATTAAAAAACTCAACATAATAAATTTAAACAATTTAACCCAAGTATTTTCCCCCGTAAAATTATCAGAGAGCTTTACAGGAAAGAAAGAAAATACACTTTATTCCACAAATTCATGTACTTCCAAGACCAGATATGGCCGAGGTCCATTGCTGGATCCTTGTGCATCCTGCCATATTCATTATACAACAAGGCAATAACCAAACATCCCTAACCTAGAAAGAGCATAAGTCACTATTCCCCTGACTTTTCTCATATACCTATTTTACATATCATAAAATTATTTTTAAAATTATGATTTAGTTTTATCAAAACATACCTCAACCATAATTCATAAAACAAAACAACCTCCCACAGCTGGTTTAAAATAAAAAAAATCCCACAAAAAGGTAGCCCTTTGCTGAAAGAGCATGCACTCTTTTCTCGTACCCTTTAAATGTCAAGTGAAAGAAAAGGGTGTTTATAAGATGACACAGCCAACAGGATTTTGCTCCACAGGTGTGACATAGCAATAAGGGTAAGGAGGATTATAAGGATACCAGACCCAGGGCACCTCCTCTGGTTTCTTGGGTTCTTCTTTCTTAGGTTCTTCTTTCTTGGGTTCGTCTTTGACTGGTTCTACCGACAATATGTCTGCGTAAGACAACTTCCTCAACTTCCCCGCCACGATCACTGGGTCTATGCCCCCCACCACCGTCATCTTGTTTTCATTCATGTCCACTGATACTGAATCCACCCCTGCATATTCCATTGATTAACACTCCTCTGTTTTTCCAACTTTGTGTCATAGAATCGTTATATTCCAAGTCATAATTTGCGTTTAATCTCTATTATATGAACTAAAAGATCATTTTAAGTGTGTTTTGATGGAATCTAACATGAATCTCTAAGCAGTTAAAATCATAATTTTGGTTTTGGTTTTATAAATTTGTTGTATCAGTTAAGAACAGAGGACATAGAAGAAGAAGAAGAAGAATATACGTGTGTGTGTGTGTGTGAGATACCTTGAATGCCAGAGACAGTCCTCATGGCTTTCTGTTTCAATTTTTCATCGTGTAATTCCACCTTCAACACTATTTTCTGTCACCCAGCGATTCAAACTAACGTTAGGACTCAGAAGTGCAGAACAGAGACAGAAAGGAAGGTTGATGGGGCATGCAAAAACACAGCAAAAAACTCTCATAATCGGAGATGAATGATTCTAACCTGCATGCTTGATGGAGTGCTGAAGAAGAAAGATAAGGAGGAGGAAGATGATTTAGAATTATGAAGTTGGGATGAAGTGGTGAAATGAGGCTACGATTTGCGCGAGATTTTATAGGAAGTCATGCGCTCATAGCATCACCTTTTTTTCTTTCCGCCCGAATCTCATGTATGATTTATCGGCCGCAAAAAGTCTCATATAGGCATATAGCAGCGCTGTACTTAATATAACAACCAATTTATAATTTAATTTACCACTAAATATAAAATTTTAGTCTATTTTATCTTTTATATTTATCTTTTTTTAAGTATTCTTTGTAGTAGTTACATATATAAAAGATTATATTAAATGATAGTTCTAACTAATACACATAATTAGTAAGGATATTTCAGGAAGACAAAATATATTTATTATAAATAACTAACTTAATTAATTTTTTTAATCTAACTAGTTGTTATATTAAAAACCGAAGGTAGTATGACTTAGATAAAATATTTTGAAAATTTGCTATTAAAATACAACAACAAGCTTTATCCCATTAGGTGGGGTCGGCTACATAAATCATACGATACCATTGTGTTTTATTAATAACCAAGTCTTTAGATATGTTGTTGATCAGAAAGTCTTGTTTATTGACTTTATTGGGTATTTTTCTCAGTCTTCATCTGTCCTTTTTTAGAGGACTTCATACTATCCAATCTACCCTCCTTATTAGCGGGGCTTTCAATAGCCTACTCTACACATGATACATCCATCTCAACATCCTCGTTTTTGGTACCCCAATTTTATGCTCGTGTTTCCGTACAATATAGTTGGTCTTATAGCAGTCTGATAAAATTTTCTCTTAAGCTTCTCTGGTATCTTCTTATTGCAAATAATCCCGGTAGCCTTTCTCTACTTTAACCAACCAGCTTATATTGTTTAAAAACATCTCTATCAATTTCACCATTATTATATATAGTGGATACTAGATGTTTGAACTTTGATACTTTAGGAATGATTTGATCTTCTATTTTCACCTCCAAATCACCGTTGCCTTGCTTCCTTCAAAATTGTCATGCATATATTATAAAATTTATAAAAATAAATTTAAATTATTAAAATTTGACCAAAACAGCTCATAACAGTATTAAACAAAATAGAAACATTTTAAGTTATAATCATTTTAATAATAAATTTTCTTGATATTAAATACAAATAGTTTATTTTTAAAAAGATGGAGAGAAGTTCTAAAAGTTTCTGTTAAAAAAAAACTGTAAGAAGAAAAGGAGGTAGCGGAATAATGGTACTAAATAATAATTGAAAATAATAATAATATTTTATAAAAGGGAAAATCCCAAAAAAGGTCATTAGAATATGAGAAATGACAGATTGGATTCTTAAATTTAAAAAATGACAGAATGGGTCATTGACCCAATCTGTCATTTGTGAAATTCAGACGAATTGACAATTTTGCCCTCATTTATTCATTCACTACAATGATTTAAGGAATCACTATAAGAGTTTAGGTGTTACCTAGATTCGTGTAGCGAATAACTACTCACATTTTTATAATCAGGTGTCTTGTTATCAACTACAACTAATTCTGTAATCACTAGAACAATATAAGCATTACCTAAATTTGTGTAGAGAATAACTACTCTTTTTTTCATAGTCAGGTATCTTATTATTGTCAGGTACCTTATTATTAACTACAACGAATCTTGTAATCACTAGAACAGTGTAAGCGTTACCTAGATTTGTTTAGAGAATAACTACTCACTTTTGCTCAAGGGCAAAAATGTCAATTCGCCTGAATTTCACAAATGACAGATTGGGTCAATGACCCATTCTGTCATTTTCAAAATTTAAGGACCCAATCTGGGATTTAGTATATTCCAGGGGTTTTTTTTGGGATTTTCCCTTTATAAAATTATTTTATCTAAATCATCCAAATTTCAATTTTAACAGTTAATATAAAAAGCAGATAGAAAGTCAGGCAAAAAGAGGCGAACAGCACTGAGCGGGGGCTGGAGGGCAGCATCGCAGACCCGGACAGGACGGGTCAACACCTCAATCAATGAAAGACTTTTTGGTGCGGATTATTAAAGGGGACGTTGAAGGACTTTGAATTTTCCAACACGGCAACTTAACATATATATAAATATATATATAAAATATTTTTTCAAAGCTTTTTGTTTGGTTGTTAGGTTTAGAGTTTACCCTTGGTTTTTTTGGGTGAAATTAGACTTAATATTTTTTAGTATGACACTTCTCTACTCCTATTCATAAATTACTTTCAACATGTTTTATATGGATTAAGAAAAATTTTAAATTTTATTAAATTTTATTTAAAATTTAATAACTTTTTAACTTAATTTTTATTTAAGATAGATTATACTTCATATAAATAAAATCAAAAAAATAGTAAACGAAGGGAAAAATTATAAATTCATACAAAAAATTTCTCTAAGTGTTTTATAAATAAAACTAAAAAGTATTTTTTTTCCTCTAATAAGATTAGAGGAGCGTATATATCATTTGAACGAGAAAGGCTCGATTTATACTCTTTCTAATATTTTCTTATAAATAATCAGAACGCATGTCTTTTTAGATTCGATTTTTATTTTACTGTTTCTCGTCATCAAAGAACCGGCAAAAATCGAGCAACCACAAGCATTTCCTGCAGCCGCAGTGACTACAGAAGATTCGAGATGAAGCTCAAAAAACGACTTAAAACCCCCGCCCCCAAGTTCGAATTGCTAGATTTTACTCAGAACAACAAAAATTGCAAAAGACTAGCACGGCAAAAAAGTGCTTAAAAAATTATTTAAATCCAACTAATTAAAATTAAATCTATCCTTACCATGTTTAACGGGAGAATTTCTATGAAATTTATATATAAAGTCACTACACATTAATAAATTCAAAAATTTAGTATGAGTTTAAGAATGAATTGATGATTTTATAAGCTAAAAATGTAAACACAGTAAACTCGGCAAATATACTCATAAGTTCAACTCAATCTATAACTAGCATGAATTTAAGAGCAAGTCAACATGATTTTGTAAGCTAAAATATAAAAATATTAAACTCAAAGAAATCTCTATAGCGTTATTTCTTCGCAAAATTGTGCTTAATTTTATATGTGGCAATTCTGCCAAGATCTCTTCGTTAGTTGGGGGAAGAATCCGCACGAATCGGAAATTTTGAGGAACATATCAAGAAAGAATTGGATTTGGTTAGACAATGTATGATTGGTAAACAAGGATAAGTTTTTAAGCAAGATACGGAATATATCGTCAAATATTCAATATGATTCCACAAGAATTCATACATAAAGTCAATATGTATAACCAAATTCAAAACTTCAGTACGAGTTTAAAAACAAGTTGACGATTTTGTAAGTTGAAAATGTAAACGTGATAAACTCGGTAAGTATACTCATAAGTTCATCTAAAATTATAACTAACACAAATTTAAAAACAAGTCAACACGATTTTATAAACTAAAAATGTAAAAATATTAAACTCAAAGAATTAATAAGTGAGACAGTGACCCCGCATGATGGCGTGGGAAAATGCATGACTTGTAGTGTGAATTGTTGTAATTTTTACAAGTTTCCATTTTAGAATCATACTCCTCGTATTCTTATTATTTAGCATTTTCTATTAAAAGGAATGGACAATAATTTTTAACATAAGTTAAGAAATGAGTTGTTAATCATATTTTTTCAATATAGTTCCTATTTAGAATTTTATGCAAAATGTTCACTATGCTTTTTGCATGATGCAAGTCATAATTTAAAATATGAACAAATTTTATTTTTTAATTCCTAGATAAAATCAATAATTGAATCACACCTTTTTATTTTTTTCCTTAATTTTAAGTAGGTTATTCTAAAAGACCAGTTCGTGGAAGCCAAGCGGAAGATTGCAGGAAAGACACGTTGACAGTCTTCAGATGCGACGACGTCACTGTAGACTTCGTTAGACCTTGTGTTAGTAATAACCACATGTTCCTAATCCTAATCTTAAACTCAACCTTATATTTAAAGAAATCTTAAGGGAGTTGTTTGATGTTATTGATTAGATGGCAAGTTTTCAATCAGATTTTTTTTTTTTAATCCCGTCCCTTATTTGTTCCATCGTCACTCATACAGCCCCCAAAACTAAAATCCAGACACGTGAAATAAAATAATAACTCGAGACTTGACAATTCATTTGAAATCAAAGTTAAGATTAAAAAGTTTTAGAAGGAAAGATAAAAAAAATATTATGAGAAAATATAATTAAGAATTTTATCCGTTTAGGTTAGATTTACGGTGCCCACCGAGTTACATTATAAATGAGTGATTCATATCATCAAAACATATCTAACCCATATTACCAACCTATGTACATGTGTGGTTTACTCAAAGTTGAAGATCTGGCCCAATGAAAAAGAGACCCCACCTGGCACGTTCTAGAAAGCTTAACAAGTAGTTAGACAAGTTTGTATGTGAACACAAAAAAAAAAAAAAAACAATGAGATAAGTTGTTTCTAAATCAAAAATTAAAGCAAGTTTAAGTAAAGTTGACAGCAGCTGCAGGGAGAAGGATGATCGTCGATCGTGCAAAACGTGGAAGGAAAAAGTTTCTTCGCTTTTTGTTCTTTAATGTTCTCAAGTAGTCAGTATAATAGTTATATATGTAAGAATTTTATTAAAAAATAGTTATAACTAATATACATTATTAATAAAAGTATTTTTAGAAAATAAAACATATTTATTATAAATAATTAATTTAATTAATTTTTTTAATCTATTCAAATTAGTTAATTCGTTCTTATATTAAGGATCGGAGGTAGTATGATTTAGATATAATATTTTGAAAAACTGCTATTAAAATATTTTGTAAAAATAAATTTAAATTATTACAATTTGATCAAAACAATTCATAACAGTATTATACAAAATAGAAACATTTTAATTTATAATCATTTTAATAATAAATTTTCATGATAGTAAATCTAAATAATTTATTTTTAAGAAGATGGAGATAAATTCTAAAAGTTTCTATTAAAAAAATTTTAAGAAGAAAAGGAGGTAGCGGAATAAGGGGATCTATTAAATTAAAAAAACAAACAAAATTAAACTAATTAAACTTTATAGGCATAATAATTTAAATAATTATGCCAATCAGGGGAAAGGAAGTGAACGGCATTAAAGTGGGAGGTGGAGAGTCGCGTCGCATACCCGGACAGGACTGGTCAACACCTAAGTCAATGAAAGACTTTTCTGTGTAGGTGTAGATTATTAGACGGGGTGTTGAAAGACTTTGAATTTTCTAACACGCCAACTTGTGTGTGTGTATCTATATATATATATATATATATATATATATATATATGTTTTAGTTTTTTCCCAAAACTTTTTGTGCGGTTGTTGGGTTTAAACTTTTCTTTTGGTTGAAATTAGACTTAATATTTTTTTAGTATAGTATATACTATTCTCGGTTTTTAATATACGATTTTGTTTGATTTTATTTTAATTCTAAATATAAGACTCTAATCTATTTTGTTTTTTATATTTATGTATTTTTTTCAAGATAGCTCTCTTAATAAATAGTAATTATAGCCAATACACTTAATTAGTAAAGATATTTTAGGAAAGACAACACATATTTATTATAAATAACTAACTTAACTTCTTTTTTTAATTTCTTCGAGTTAGTCAATTAGCTCTTATAATTAGAATCAGAGGTGGTATATCGTTTGAATGAGGAAGATTCGATTCACACTCTTCCTAATATTTTCTTATAAATAATTAAAACGTATGTCTTTTTATTTTTAGTTTTGATATATACATTTTTTCTTAGCATGATACTCCCTCCGTTCCTTATTATAAGAGACATTTGATGCTTATGGCATGTTCCTATATATAAGAGACACTTAAAAGTTGTCTCTACTTTTTTGTGTTGATTTCCTATTTTACCCATATTTATTATCTCCAACTCACACTCTCTCTCCCTCCTACTTCTCTCTCTTTTAATAATTTAATTGTTCTCTCTCATACTCTCTCTCCTTATTAATGAGGGCATTTTTGAAAAAAAAATTATACTTTTTACACATTAATTGTTCTTAACTAATTTTAACTATTTTTTTGATCAACGTACTTCGGTTATTTGTCTTTTATAATAAGAAACGGAGGGAGTAATAGTTTACATTCAATTTTTATTTTACTGTTTCTCGTCATCAAAGAACTGGCAAAAATCGAGAAACCATAAGCATTTCCTGCAGCCACGATGACTGTAGAAGATTCGAGAAGAAGCTCCAAAAACGACTTAAAAGTTAAAACTCCCCACCCCCGAATTCGTATTGCTAAATTTTACTCAGAACAACAAAAATTGCAAAAGACTAGGACAACAAAAACGTGTTTAAAAAATTATTTTATACGACATTTAGTGAGGTTTGTTCAAATTTTTCAACGTGGATATGACACTTGAGCCATATTTTATTGTCTTTCATATTAAATTTTCTTTTTTCATGATATTCTTATTTATTAGGTATTTTTATCCCCACGTATTAAATTTTAATTATTAAATGACAGAGTTATTTTTAAAATAATTAATATAAATTTTTTTACATATTTTTTATAAATTTTTTACATATTAAATACAAAAAATCGACTAACTTTTTTTTTTTAAGTTTATGAATTGAATAAAAAAATTATAAATAAGATAAGATGAACTGTGGAGTAAATGAGATCAAGATTGTTAAACTCATGAATTTAAGTAAACTTGTAATCAAGATGTGAGTTCAGATCATAAACTCGTAAAAATTTATTTTTATTAATAAATTTGTATTGAATTTGGGAGAAAACTTACCTCCAGTTCTTTATATCCTTTATATCCGGTTTTTCAATAAATAACTACCATATGCATCTTTTATACACGTCAATGTTAACGGCGTTAGTCTCCGACGCTCTATACTTGTTCACAAATCGAAGAACCGTGTTTTCACTCTCTCTCTCAGACTAACCAAATCGCCGCCAAAATCCCATAATCCTTTTAATTCATCTTCATCTTTTAAGAACTGGAGCCAAACCAAAGAGACCAAGAATGCCATTGATCATGATTCTCTGTTTATTGGCAGTAACAGGACAGTCCAATTGAACAAACTTCTCATCAAGAAATCGAAATTGCTGGGGGTATAAACTCCTAGATGGGTTATTAATTAAATATTAATCTAGTTTTTATCAGAGAATAAAACAGAAAAAGCGCAATGATTCCTATTCTCTTGTGGGGGTTTTTCTTTCTTTTATTTTTCTCCTAATATATTGTACAGAAACCTAGCTAAAATGAAAAATCATACTCCTCACGTTTCCTTCTGCTTCTTTTTTTCCTTTGGAAATTTACAGTAAGTAGTAAGAGAAGACCCAGTGTGGGAATTGCAGTATTGAAGCAGCAAGAATCTAAAATGGGATTTTCATTTCTATCCGTGGCAACTGTGAAAATCATATAGGGAGATGGAGGGGAAGGATTGAAACGGTGTTAACGTTGATGTGTATAAAAGATACAGATGGCAATTATTTATTGAAAAATGGGATGTATAGGATATAATGAACTGAAGGTAAGTATTCTCCTTAAATTTATATAATTAAATAATTAAGATATAAAAAACAACAACAATTTTATTTAAATATATTTTAAATCCAACTAATTGAAATTAAATCCATCAACATTTATAACTTATCATATTTAACAAAAAGAAATTCATATATAAAGTTACTATGCATAATCAAATAAAAAAATTTAGTACATTTAAGAACAAGTTAATATGATCTTGTAAGTTGAAACGTAAAAACAGGAAGCTAGATAAGTAAACTCATAAGTTCAACGGAATTTATAGCGAGCACGAATTTAAAAATAAGTTAACGCGATTTTGTATGTTGAAAACATAAAAACATTAAATTTAGAGAGTCAACTTATGAGTTTGACAATAATAAGTAAGACTATGAGACAGTGATGTCCACGGACTGGACAATAATTTTTAACATAATTTAATAAATGAGTTGTTAATCATGTTTTCAATTATTTGAAAAAGACTAAAAGAGGGGAATAGTTCCTTATCATTTATACAAAAGAAAAAACAAAAGAAAGCACAAGGAACGAGTTCGTGGAAGCCGCGTGGAAGATTGTAGGTAAGACACGTTGACAGTCTTCAAATTCGATGACGTCACTGTAGACTTCGTCAGCCCTTGTATTAGTAACCCCATGTTCCTGGTCATAACCTTGAACTCAACCTTAAAGAAATCTCAAGAGAGTTGTTTGATGTTATTAATTAGAAGACAAGTTTTCAATCAGATTTTTTTTAATCCCGTCTCTTATTTGTTCCATCGTCACTCATACAAACCCCAAAACTAAAATCAAGACACATGAAATCAATAATAACTTGAGATCCTACAATTCATTTGAAATCAAGGTTAAGATTAAAAAGTTTTAGAAGGAAAGATAAAAAAAATATTTTGAGAAAACATAATTAAGAATTTTAAATTGTCCTTTCTAACATATCTAAACCATATTACCACCCTATGTATATGTGTGGTTACTCAAAGCTCAAGATCTAGCCAAATTAAAAAGAGACCACATCTCGCACGTTCTAGAAAGCTCAATAAGTAGTTAGACAAGTTGATATGAACCCAAAAAAAAAAAAAAACAATGAGATAAGCTGTTTCTAAATGAAAGGTTAAAGGAAGTTTACCGTAAAGTTGACAGCAGCCGCAGGGAGAAGGATGATCATCGATCGTGCAAAATATGGAAGGAAAAAGTTTCTTTACTTTCTAAAGGAAGTAGAAAGCCTCTTTTATTTCCTTTTGTGGTTTTCTTTATTTGACCGGGTAAAAAAAAAGGAAGAAGAAGGGAAAAGTTTGCGCGTCGTAAAATGTGGGCGGAGTAATTTTACATGTTTTGTTGAATGACTATGGAAGAACTGGGCAAGCGTCGTGTAATAATAAAGCACGCATTGATGTTTAGCTATAAATTGAACTTCCAGGCTTCACTTCTTCCATCTCAGCCTTCAACCCTGCAACATCTCCTCAATTCTTCCAATCCGTCCTTCTCTAATCTTCAACACCAATTCTCGCTACTCATCCTTCACTCTTCTCCCCGCAAGAAATGGCCAAGGTTTGGACTGATCACCCTTGCCAATGCACATATCAATTTCAACTTATTGATTGATATGTCTTAGTGAAATTTGAAGAACAGTTCTCATATGGGAGACGTTTAATTTATTGGCCAAACGGACCAGTGAAAACTCTTATTTAGCTAGCTTTATGCAACATTCATTTAGCTCTAACTTTCAAAATGAAACTCAATTGCACGTATACTACATAGCTGTACTTATGGATCTTCTTGGCAAAAATTTTTACAAATAAGAACTTTAATTTTCACCATATTTCCTTGTATTTTTTCATTTATTATATATTTATCTATCTCTCAGAAAAAATATTGGTCTTCTGTTTCGTTATTAGTTATTACAAGTGGGTCGCTTGTGAAGTTATATAATTTTTTTATTCATATTTTGAATTAGTCTCGATAATTATCATGTTTCTTTTTGGTTTAATTTGATGAAATATTCCAGAGCTTGGGGTGGTAAGTGGTAACTGATCATCTGACTTTATTCTATGCAGAAAATAGTGTTGAGGGTGGCAGTACACGGTGACAAAATCAAGCAGAAAGCCATGAAGGTGGCCTCAGGCATTTCAGGTAATTTCAACTTGTTACACCAAAGCAAAAACAAGGGGACTTTGATATCACTATCATATATTTTTTAAAATGAAAAAAATGAATATTAGTAATGGGTAAAAAGTGAATTAATTAACAATTATATATGAGCAGGGGTGGATTCAGTGGCAATGGAAATGGAGGAGAAGAAGCTGACAATAGTGGGAGAGATAGACGCAGTGATGGCAGTGAAGAAGCTGAGGAAGCTGTGTCGCACAGACATAGTTTCAGTGGGATCCACAAAGGAAGAAGAGGCGCAGAAGAAAGAAGAAGCTGATAGCTACTCCTGTTACCCCCATTATTATCCTCCCACACCCGGCCTATATTGCTGCTATTACCACAATTATTAATACTACTTTCGATCCTAATTATAAGATTTTATTTATAGATTATAAACGAGGTTTTATAATTAAGACGAAAGAATTAGTAACATCCTCCTGCCTCTGTCATCTGTTGAGGAATTTATTTACAATTTTTTTTAAAAAAAAGAAAACAGAGGAATGGTTGGTCCTACGTGGAGAGGAACACCGAGCTCCAACTTTAACGATTGCATGGGGAGCCAACCAGGAACCGACATTTTGGCTTCTTCCTACAAACCTTGCGTCCTTCACTTTATTTTTCTTTTTCTTTTTTCACATACTTAAGTTTCCATATAATTTTCCCCTTATGGCTTTATGATGAGATATATATATCTCTACATGAAATTATAAATTATGTGGGGCTTCATTGGCATTGATTTATTGACATAAACAGCACGCCTGTCTACTCCTTGACATGTATTATTAAAATTATTTTTTTTGGGCAAATAAGTGATTAGATAATTGTAACCTTTAAGGGGTATTCCATCTACATCTCAAATTGAAATTCATGCTTGTATTTTATAAAATTATTACTAAAATATTAATTTTTTAACAGATAAATAAGTAAAATTAAACTATTAAATTTTAATCATGATAATTAAAATATTTAATAAGATAAATTTTTTACAAAATATGAAATCTGAACTAATATCATGATAATTGAAATGAGAAATAAATGGAAATGGGCGGAAAGAAGAGGTGGTTTCCCACTAACAATTAATACTAACATCAGCCAAACCGCGTCATCAAAGTCAGATGCGCCCACCAATTTCACGGTTCTTGAATCATGCTTGCCTCCTGAGTCCTGATCCTTCTTCGAAACTTCACTTTACCCCCGGGCCCCCTCCCCCCCAAACCAAAAAAAGAGAGGGGGGGGGTGGGGGGAGAAAAAAGTTCATAAAATTGAATATATCCTGTAAAATCAATAATAATAAATTTCGACTGTGAAAAAATACATAGAGAATGATTAATAACCTTGCGATATGGTGTCTCTAGAAACGTCTCAAGAAGATATTTTTTGTAATTTTTTGTAATGGAGCCACAAAGATCAGTGCTTGATAAGATCCCCAGGAAGTGAGTTTTTGCACGCAACTTTTTGCAAGCCGCAAAAGGTCACCCCCACGGCTCCCCCTCCAGTAACCCAAATCCCAATCTTCCTTCACAATTTTCCGTGGCCGTCCCTATCTTTTGAAAATAAATGAAACCATAAGTTGATTTTCTAGCAGATCAGTACATGACGCGATATGCCTCTAGAAAGCCGCTTTCTTTGCCCTTTTTGTTCTTTTTTTCCCACTCCTTTTGCATATGCCACGCCTAGAAATTTTTCTAGTTTTTGAATATACGATTTTAAAAAAAAAATTCGTGAAGCGTTTATTGAGTTCTTCTAACAAATTCAGGCCAAACAAAGAAGAGACACGATGATCAAATGTGAGAGAAAAACAACTGTCTAATAATTATAAGAGTAATAATATTTAGATGAAAGAAAAATTGTGAAATTTGGACAATTTTTTTAAAGATTTTTCACTCAAATATTCTTTGTTAATTACCAGACTAAATGCAATCTAGAAAACATGTAATTTATATACAATATCAAAATTAAAGGCTCAGTTTTCCCATTCAGGATTTGAAAGGAAAAAAACACGCCTTCATTAAATGGAAAAAAGGGCCAAAAACAGAGTTTGCGCGTAGGAGGGTCAATTATTGCTGCCATTTGACTTGGCTTGACTTTCTCTCTCCCTTTGGCTACGTCTTGTATATAAAATCTCCCCTCAAGCTCCGATTGCTTCGTTCCACCTTCAGTCATCTCCATCTCTTTCTCTTCACGTTCTTATCAGCAACGCTTTCTTAGCCCTCCCACATTCCAACAGAAATTATGAAGGTCAGAACTTGACTCTTACGTTATCTATATATAAATGGATGCATCTAACTTCGTTTAACCTCTTCGTTCAATTTTCAGAGAGTTTTGCTTTGTTTACCTTTCATGTCTGATCAATCATCTTTGCTTGATTCATTATGTGACAGAAAATAGTGTTGAAGGTGGACTTATTCGATGAAAGAATCAAGAAGAAAGCCATGAAGGCAGTCTCTGGCATTGCAGGTACATTCAAATTCAGCAGCTTCTTCATCTTCTTTCCCATCCATGTCCTGTATATCATTAAAAACCTTTCTCGAGCATGCTGGGTTTAGTTCAATTTAAGGTTTCACACGTTAATTGCGCTGGACTAATAATGGCATTAATGTTGCAGGAGTTGAGTCAGTGTCGGCGGACACGAAGGCAAAAACATTGACGGTGATCGGAGACATAGATCCTGTGTGTGTAGTGGGGAAGCTGAGGAAGTTGTCTCCCACAGAGATAGTTTCAGTGGGAGCAGCCAAAGAAGAGAAGAAAAAGGAAGAGCCTAAGAAGGAAGAGAAGAAAAAAGATGAACCAAAAATGGCTGTGCCGGGCTATGATTATTATTATTATTGTCATCCAATAAGACCCTACCCATATTGCTATGTGACTTGTGTTGAGGAAAATCCTAATCCCTGTGTCATTTTGTAATTAAGCACCTTTTGAATTTTCATTTTCAGAGTTTCCACGCAAAATAATGGGTATGGATGCTTGTTAACAGAGTACTGGTGTATTACTATTTCAAGTCTTTGATTTAAGATCCAGATTATTATTATTTTTGTTTTCTGAGTAGAAAGGTAATTGATTAATCAAGAGCATGTACAGGCACATAGAAATGCAGAAGAGGCCGATTACAAAACAGAGTAAAGGAAGCTAACTGCAAACCTAGGGACTAGAAGCGACAAAACTAATGCAACTGGTGACAAAAGAGCTAGACTATTATAAATCATGAGTATTAACTAGTTAGAATTATCATTTTATGAAATTTTTAACATATATAATTATTACAAAGACTATCTAAAAAAATTAAAAAAAAAAGAGACAAAATGAATTGGAATTTTATATTTAACATCAAATTGAATGTCAAACTAGTTCTTATATTAACTATGAAAGGTAGTATGTTACTGGAAAACGTAATCTTTACTCAATTTATTTCATCCCTAGTCCTTACTTCCTCCTTACTTCCTAAACTAACAAGGAACAGATATTTAAAATTAATTTTCCCCAATTATTCTTGAATACTTGAGTTCTTGTCTCTGTGTTTTTTCCCCTGTTATGTCAAGATAATAATACACACACACGGCACTTCATGTTTATTTTTTGAATGAAAATGATCACTCTCCTTTCGAAACTTTTTTGGTTTGTTAAGAGTAATTTAATTACAATTTTTTTTTTAAAAAAAAAGAGTAATGGTTGGTCCTACGTGGAGAGGAACACCGAGCCCCAACTTTGACGACTGCACGGGGATCCAACCAGGAAGTCAGGAACCGACATTTTGGCTTCTTCCCACAAACCTTTCGTCCTTCACTTTATTTCCCCCCCCCCCCCCATATTTAAGTTTCCATATAATTTCCCCTTATGACTTTATGATGATATATATATATATCTATATAAAATTATAAATTATATGGGGCTTTATTGGCATTGATTTTCAACATTTCACGATGAGCCGTGTTGACATGGACAGCATGCCTTTCTACTCCTTGACGTGAATTATTAAAAAAAAATTTTGGGCAAATAAATGATTGGATAATTGTCACCTTTAAGGGGTATTCCATCTACATCTCAAATTGAAATTCATACTTGTATTTTATAAAATTATTACTAAAATATTAATTTTTTTTAACGGATAAATAAGTAAATTAAACTATTAAATTTGAATTATGATAATTTAAAATATTTCACAAAATATTTTTTTTTTGAATATGAAATCTGAACTAATATATCATGATAATTGAAATGAGAAATAAATGGCAATGGACAGAAAGAAGAGGCCGTTTCCCACTCACAATTAATACTAACATCAGCACAACCGCGTCATCAAAGTCAGATGTGCCCACCAATTTTAGGGTTCATGAAGCGTGCTTGCCTCCTGATCCTTCCTCGAGACTTCACTTTCCCCGGCCCCCACCCGGAAAACAAACCCCCCCCCCCCCAAAAAAAAATCGACTATGAAAAAATACATAGAGAATGGTTAATAACCTTGCAACACGTGTCTCTCGAAATGTGCCAAGCAGATTTTTTTTTTTTGTAATTTTAGATGGCGTGATAATGGAGCCACAGAGATCAGTGTTTGATTAGATCCCAAGGAAGCGAGTTTTTGCACGCAACTTCTTGCAAGCCCTACAAGGCCACCCCTATGGCGCCCCCTCCATTAATCCAAATCCCAATCTTCCTTCAAAATTTTCTCTGGCCGTCCCTACCATGCGTTGAAAATAAATGACACTATAAGTTGATTTTCTAGCAGATCAGTATATGACGCGATATGCCACTAAAAAGCAGATTTCTTTTCCCTTTTTGGTTTTTTTTTTAACTCCTTTTGCATAGTACCATGCCTAGAAATTTTTCTAGTTTTTGAATAAGCGAATTTTTTGGCCAAACACAAATGTTCTTCTAAGCAAAGAAGAGACACTATGATCAAATTTGAGAGAGAAACAACTGTCTCATAATTATAAGAGTAATAATATTTAGATGCAAGAAAAATTGTGAAATTTGGACAATTTTTTTAAAAAATTTTCACTCATATTCTCTGTTACCAGACTAAATGCAATCTAGAAAATATGTAATTTGTATACAATATCAAAATTAAAGGCTCCATTTTTCCATTCAGGATTTTAAAGGGAAAAAAACACTCCTTCATAAAATAAGAAAAAAGGGGGAAAAAAACAGTTTGAGCGTTGGAGGGTTAACTATTGCTGCCATTTGACTTGGCTTGACTCTCCCTATCCCTTTGGCTACGTCTCTTTATAAAATGTCCCCTCAAGCTTCAATCGCTTCGTCCCATCTTCAATCATCTCCATCTCTTTCTCTTCAAGTTCTTATCAGCAACGCTTTCTTAGCCCTCCCACATTCCAACAGAAGATATGAAGGTCAGAACTTGACTCTTTCATCATCTATATATACATGCATGCATCTAACTTCATTTAACCTCTTCGTTCAATTTTCTGAGAGTTTTGCTTTGTTTACCTTTCTTGTCTGATCAATTATCTTTCCTTGATTCTTTATGTGACAGAAAATAGTGTTGACGGTAGAATTATACGATGAAAGAATCAAGAAGAGAGCCATGAAGGCGGTCTCTGGCATTCCAGGTACATTCAAATTCATCAGCTTCTTCATATTCCTTCCCATCCATGTCCTGTATATTATTAAAAACTTTTCTTGAGCATGCTGGGTTTAGTTCAATTTAAGGTTTCAAGCGTTAATTGCGCTGGACTAATAATGGTATTAATGTTGCAGGAGTTGAGTCAGTGTCGGCGGACATGAAGGCAAACACATTGACTTTGATCGG